TCAAAATTCAGATGCTTGGCAACTGGTTCATGACCATTGCTGTGTCCCAAGGTCATGTGATCACCTTTTGTGACCTTCCAATCAAAATCAAACAAAATCAATAGAGAATTCAGATTCCCTTAACAACTGGATTACTAACTTATCAACGACTGTGGCAAGAAAGGTCGTAAAATGGGGCAAAATGCCCTTAACAAATGTCCCACCTAACAACAGAAATGTTGGGCTCAATTGTGGTTGTAAGTAGAAGACTACCGGTATTTGGCTAAGTCGTGCGTGTTGCGTAATGCTGCTGACCTGAAATTCAGAAAAATCATAGCAAGTTCAATGATCAGAGCAAAGATGATCAAGGCACTAGAAAAGCAAACTTTATGAAGAGAGATGGGCCTTGAGAAAAGCTATCAAAGGAGAGAAATGACAGCACTCTTCAAATACTGAAAGAATGCCACAAAGGAAAAATTAAAACTTATTGTCTTTCCTTCCAGAGTGCAAGAGGAGAAAAATGGATTTAAGTTACAAGTAAAGAGACTCTTGGAACATCTAAAGAAAGATCCTACCAGTAAACGTAATCTGACAGTGGAACCAATCCTCTAGAGCAGTGTTTCTCAAACTCAGGGTCTTTTAAAACACAGAAAGAATATAATGTTAGCGTATTTGATCAAAGTTAAAATAGATATATTATCTTTGGAAACCCTAAATCAACTTTTGTTGACATCGACTGAAATGACAAGGCTTTATGGATTTATTTATAGATGAGACACAGGATATGTGAAGAAGAGATCATTTGTTATATTTCAAAACAACACTTTTAAATATGAGGGAAGCTTTTCTCAACAGGTTTCAGGAATTCAGAAACAGCAAAGCGACGTTAGCCTTTGTTTAAAAACCTCAGTGCTACTGTAACAGAATTAAATTTTTCTCCCTTTAATATTGACATTGGTAACTTTGAAATGCAATTGCTGAATTTAAAAAACAAAGAATTGTGGAGCTCGAAATTTGAACGTCTTTGTGCTCAAATACTGGAGAAAAACAAATGTGAACTTAGTTCACAGCACAAGTGGTCTGCTTTGAAAGACCTGGAGAAGGAAGATATGTTGATTTTTAACACCTGTAATAGTATTCCTGACTCATATAATCAACTGAAAAAATTAGTGTTTGCTGTTCTTTCCTTATTCAGGTCTACATATTTATGCGAACAATCATTTTCAAGCATGAACCTTATCAAGAGTAAATTGAGAAGTCGTCTTATTGATGAGAACCTGGAATCGTGCCTAAAATTAAAAACAACAACATACTGACTTACCCAAACTTTCCAAGGAGATACAAGGCCATTGTTCACATTAGTGTTTGTCAGTTATTGTCATGATTTAATTTTATGGATATTGTAAGGTAAATTGTAAGTAATTTAATTTTATCAATAAATAATATCATTATTAAGTATGATATCAAGTTTTATTCAACGTACCTATAGTTTAAGACTTAAAACTTTAAGTAAAGTTTATTAAGTTAATTTTAGGGAACATTGTGGAGTGAAAGAAGATGTAGTGTCGCGGATTGAGAAAGGTATGTTGAGATGGTTTGGACATATAGAGAGGATGAACGAAAGGAGATAGACGAAACAAGTATACAAGACAAGTGTGTATGGGAGAGTTGGAAGGGATCAACCTCCGCGGACGTACCTCAATCAGATTGAGGACGTTTTTAGCAAAGGCCAATTTAAGAATACCCTAATTAAGTTAATAACAATGTACCTACCTATATAGTTTAAGTTTTAAAAAATTGGCTCTCAAAAGAAATTTCAATCGTTGTACTGTTGATATTTGGCTCTGTTAACTAATGAGTTTGCCGACCACTGTTCTAAGCCTACTAGAAAAAGCCTGACTTAGCATGACAGGAGTCTCTCTCGCTCCCTCATTATCATCCTGGATCTCTCCAAGCTCTTTCTAAAAGGAATCTAATGAAATCCTGCCACCTTGCACTTGTGGCAGGATTTCACTTCATCACGTCATTAGCTGAACTTTTGTCCCCAAAAGAGGAGGTAATGAGGGGAGAAAGAGACAGAGACAGAACATAGCACACTATTCGATTTCAGAAGGCAAACAAGTGTTTCTATCCTCTTTTTTTTTTTTAAAGACACCTAGCCAACCAGATGTCAGAGATTCTTTCAACTCCTCATTCCAGGGACAAATTCAACAAATTCTGGGACAGAAGCCAATTTTAATTGCAAACAGTGAAGAGTCACTTTTTGGCCTAGAAAAGTTACACTAACGCTCACAGCCCATATCAATAGGAGTATATATTTGATTCAAGTGTGGGCACAGTTCAAACATGTGGGATCCACTCTTCAGGAAAAGTCCTAAGAGGAACCACTTTCAGGCAAAAAGACAGGAGATATTTTTAATGTAAGGTCAGGAATATGTTTTATGTATCTGAACTAAAGGAAATCATAAGCATTTTACACAGAAATCTCAAAGAGACAGAGAGAAATGAATATATTTATTCATTTTAGTATTGTGGGACATTTGACATGATTAAATCTCTGTTGGTCAAAAACTCAGAGCAGTTAGAAGATGCCTTAAAGTTCACCTAGTCCAACCACTCTGAATTATTGCTATAAATTTCAAATTTCCATCAAGATTTTCTGAATTACCTTTTTGCCTTCTCTGGCCTAAATGAGCAGGCCAGCTTTGCCATCATGACAAGAAAAACTATTATAAGGGAGTGGTTTCTAATTTAACACAACCAATAATGCCCCCAAAGTCAGTAGGAGGCACTACTCAATCTCTAAGCAATACCAATACCATAACAAGGAGCCAATCCCTAAGTATATACTTGAGGTTGTATTTTGTTCTGTGCTGCACTTAAAAACATGTTAAAGTCATGTATTACATAACAAGGAGCCAATCGCTAAGTATATACTTGAGGTTGTATTTTGTTCTGTGCTGCACTTAAAAACATGTTAAAGTCATGTATTACATAACAAGGGAAACTGGTGCCAAGTATCATGAAAGGTCATTTTAATTTTCCACCTGTCACAATCAAAGACTAGGATATATTGAAGCTCAAAGACAACTTTGGAGAAGATGAACAAAATATTTTGAAGAGATAATTATTCAGTGGGGTTCATTAATCCAGAAAAATGTGTCTATCATTGAAGAAAACCTTGGAGAAGGGCTTGAAGGGAATATCCAGAAGCCGTTACGGAAACAACAAGAGAAGAAGTATGTTTTAACTGGTGTTTAAGGCCTGGGAAAGGAGTTAGCATTAGGAAAATACTGAGGCTGGCTCATCCCTGATTCAGTGGGGCTGAATATATGAGGGAGGAGAGATGCATACTCAGACTCTATTACTGTGGCCTGTAAAATATATATCTAGTCTTCCTGGGGAGTCAGTTTCTTAATCAGATCTATCTCCTAGGGCTGACAGTCATATCTATTATTTATATATCAAATTTCTTAATATTGCATGAGTGAAAGATAGAACCAGATTTGCCAAACTAAAGACCAGGTGTATTCGGGGGGGGAAGAAGAACAAATGGAAACAGGTTCTATATTACATATGAAGACTATTCCCACCCAAGGAAAACCCAAGATCTTTTTGAACCCGAATACTATTTTTAGAAGGCGGGTCAGAACATGGAAAAAGGGGTATAAGGATTACAAATGTCAGCTAACAGCGCATCTACACTCTGAATTGGCCCAGCTATATATTTTAAAGATGTGCAAAGATCGAGATTTGAAGACAAAAAGAGATCTTGTAAAACCCAGCAACTCTTTTTAAGACACATTTAAGAACTTGGCAACAAAAGCTATGTGTGCATACCCACCTTCCATTTCATTTTTTTTTCAAATCATGTTATGGAATTCAGTTCAGTCTATATTCCTACTAAATGACAGGGTTAGTCTTTAATTTCTGGAAAAAAATGTATCCCTTTCAGGTATTTAACTGACAATAATTAAAACAGAGCACTTGCTACATATTAATTTCTAAGAAGTTAATCTGTTAAAAATTGCCACTGTAAGGTATTCTTGACACACATACCTCAGGCTTACTCAAAAGGCATCAGAAGTCCAACACCTATGACAATTCAACTATCAATGTATATATTCAAGGGCCACCTCCAGTATCCTGATTCTAATTCCTTCACTTGCTAAACAAAACAAAACATTTCCTGCCGGCTTCCATTAGCAAGTCAACAGAAGACTCTTTTCAAATTAAGCCTCCTTCTGCTGCATTTAAAAAACTCAACAGAAACTGATTTACAAGGCACCAAAATTGTGAGACACAATATCACAATTCGGATTTTCTCAGCTGAATACATTCCCCTTAAACGGAAGTTCTAATTCCATCTGAAAAAAATGGAAAGGTCTCAGCCTGGCTGGCATTCAGAGTTCATTCTGAACCACAAAACGTTTTAAAGGAAGAAAAAACTAAAGCGTCCAAAAGAGATGTTTACGCCAATATTATGGATTAAAGACTTTGAGTTCATCTTCTTTTTACTTATCATGACAAGGAACCAGCATGGACCCCATCCACTCTTTCCCAATGAAACATGATGCTTTGTTTTTATAGCCCTCCTAACACCATCTCTTTTAATAAATGAAATTGTAGAATTTGACTTTTTAAAGAACCCATCCAAGGGTGCCAAGCAAGCGCCTGGCTGAAAGGCAAGAACTGAACCTTTCTCGCATAGGAAACCTCAGTATTCCCTAGGCCCAGAAGAACCCGGGATGCCACACACGATGCCACCTTGCTTATTTTGCAACCTCTCGTTATCGTAGGATCTAAGACTCTCAACTTTTTCCAACTTCCCTCTCCTAAGACCGGTCCCTTCCTCTTCTTAAAGCAAGAACCCAGAAATCTGGCCTCTGCATTGCCCTCCTATTAAAGCAAGCCAAAGGAACCCAGGAGAATCCCAGCCCCAGTTCTTCCCTTCGACATTGGGCATTGGGGGATTCCCCCCCCCCAGCCTGCACTCTATCGCCCCAAATTCACTCACCCACCAACGGCCCCAAGTGGAAGGAAAACGATGGCCAATTGCAGCGGCGACAGCAGGAGCGGCAGCTCTCCTCCCGAAAGCCCAGACAGAAAGAAGGGGTGGAGAATGGACTCTACCACTTAGCGACGTAAGGGGGGGGGGAGGAAGGACTAAGAACGTATCCCGGGCAAACTCCTCCCTCTCCAAAGGCTGGCTTTTTAATATATCCTGCGCCAGATCCAACCCAGCGGTTCCATTCTGCTTCCGTTCCCGGGAAGACTAATCTTCCCAGCGCCTCTCAGTTAACCTCCCCACGCAGGCGAGGAATGGTACGGCCTTCCCGGCTCCAAGCTGAATGGAAGACGCGTATGTTAAAGGTCCAAGGCAGGATCAAGATTAAGGGTTGGGTTAGACTAGCGTTGCTCAACCTTCGCAACTGGTATGGACTTCAAAGAGAAACCCTGGATTAAACTAGGATTGAATTTTCAGTTGAATTGTTGTTTCACGTCTCTCTCAAATAAAGCCTCAGTTCAGTGGGCAGGAACAGTGTGTTCTCAGAAGATGCTTAATTAATCAGGCAAGGGCTGGATCGCGATCTCACAATAAGCTTTTTTGAAGTTAAGCCTGTTTTTCCCTGGTTTTTAATACCGGGTGTATGAGCTCAGTATGGTTAGTATGGTACAGTGTGTAATCACATGGAATCAGATTAGATATCCCTTACGAAACCTAAAATTTAATTATATTAATATTAATATAGACATCCTAGATTACAGTATATTTCATTAAATCTATGAGATGGATTTAGTATTGACAGTATACAATAACAACTGTTACTGAAAGGAGGACTGCCGGAGGAAGAGATAAAAGAATTAAAAAGGCATTAATATACTTCTTGCATTAATGAACAATGTTTTGATAACAGAATCCATTAAAAATGGTCCCAAGATTTTTACATATGTGAGTCTTTAAGGTGCCACAAGATTTTGGCCACTGTGACCTTAGTACAATGGTAATTGCCAAATACATCTTGGGAAAAACATTGTTTCTAGACGGGACTACTTTAAGCTGCCCCAGAGTTGCTAGCCTGTGGGAGGACACCAAAATACAGGTGGAGGCATGCAGAGTTGGGAAATGGTAAATTAAGATATCTTCAGGCTGGGATGAGAAAGCTGTGGATTTCCTCAGTTTACTGGCTGTTGCAAAACTGCAATATGGCAGCTCTATGAAGGGCTGAATGACTCTAAAGGTCAACCAGAACTTTTTTTATTGGGATTAATGGACAGCCAATTAGAAAAGAACCTTGGGTGACAAAGATTACACACACACACACACACACAAACACACATACACACACACACACCTGTATATAAAAATATCATTACTGCTGGGAGATGATGTGTCTAAGAATGGGAAAACTATAACACCAACAATAGAGGAATGATTGATGGAGATGACAGAGATAGCAAAATTAATTTGTGTGCCTGGAGAAAGTTCAACAACTACATTTAGCAGTTACTGGAAACTCTTTATGGATTTTTTACTGAAAAAGGTAGAAAAATGAACATGGGGTACCGGTTGGAAAATTAGAAAGGATGATTTATGGAAGGAAGGGCATTATGAGGGTCTTAGAGAGGGTAAAATAAAGCACATTTATAACTGCTTGTTAAAAAATTGGAAGCAGTTTCCTTATCCTTTATCCTTTATCTTTTCCCCCTTTTTCCTATTTTCTTTCTTTTCACTGTTTACTATTTTTCTTTATTTTTATGATTTTTACTTCATTAGAATTTTTTTCAATTAAAAATTAACATTTCAAAAGACCCAAATGAAAATATTTGGATCACCTTGATTAATAGCCAGTCCAGTGAAAGTGTTTCCTTAAAACCACCACCTACAAGTAGTCTTCGACTTATAACCACAACTGAGCCCCAATTTCTGTTACTAAGTGAAGCAGTTGTTAAGTGAATTGCCCCATTTTACGACATTTCTTGCCACAGTTATTAAGTGAATCAATTCAGTTAAGTTAGTAAAATGGTTCTTAAATGAATCTGGTTTCCGCAATTGAATTTGCTTATCAGAAAGTCGCAAAAGATGATCACATGGCCCGTTTATGGAACTGTCATAAATATGAGACTGTTGCCAAGCGTCATAAATTTGATCATGTGACCATGGGGATGCCACAGTGGTTCTAAGGGTGAAAAATTGTCATAAGTCCCTTTTTTCAGAGCCAATGAAACTTTGAACAGTCATTAAATAAACTGTTGTAAATCAGGGACTACCTGTACAAGCTGACAAAATCTGAGAAACAAAATATTAGCATAATGTATTTCCTTGCTAGAATTTTGCAGTCTTAATGATGAGTTAATCTAGTCATGGTGATTTATAATTCCTATTTTGTGTCCTATTATTACTTCATAATCCTGCCTGCCCCAAACAGTGTTGATGGGACTGATTTAGTATTCCAAAGAAGACTCCTCAGGCTTTAAGAGTTTGATGTTTTAATAATAAAAACTTTAAATAAAAATTTATCCTATCCTGCTAGCAGGAAGCAGACAAGCAGATCACGAGAGAAGCGAGGATCTTTTAAGAAATGCTGGACCTAGCCAATTACATAAGCATTCCTTTTGTGTTTGTTTAAAAGGTGTGAAAGCTCACCTTGGAGAATATTTGCAGAACACATTTTATACATATATAATTTCCTTATTTCATAATCAATGTTTGCTGTGCTCTGGGGCACAATGTTATGATGGAGATATGTATGTGTGTATATATATATATATATATATATATATATA